AACACAAAGAAACAGATTACAACTACCTGAGATGTGTGGATATTTGAATTTATTACCCATCACATATAGTTAAAACCAGATATGTAAGTAATCCGGTTACAACGACTACAAAACTAGAGTGTTCGATTTGTAAAGATCGACTATTAAAAGCTTTATTGTTAGTGCAGGTGTCGTGAAGAAGAATGTGAATTTAAAGCATTATCATGCATGGGCAATTAACGATTATTCAAAACAGAATTACCCAATTTAAATTAATACAAGCGTTTAAGTCAATTTTGTAGTTCTGTGAGATATTGCGTGATACCTTACATTATATTCTCTTAATAAAATCTATTACTATACACACATTACCTGCCAAAAGCAGTAGTAACTTCCTAGTAAATCACTTTTTTTCTCGAAAATTTTATTGTCACTATGGAAATCACAATGATTCTTGAGTTACCTCTTATGGCTACAGTTCGATGACGGTGGCGTACACGAATAATGCAGCCTACGGAATAAACGTGTGTGTGTATTGCACATATTAATATGAAAATTAGCTTTTAGCACAATTATGTAGCATAAAGTTACACTCTACAGTTAACTGCCGATAATTGACCGCTGGTTACAGAACATTTATTATTGTAATTAATTCGACTTGTACGTTAATTCGATCGATAACCTCGGAACGCAAGCGGTCGAATTATAGGCAGTTGACTGTATGTAGTGTATATTATCCCAACCAGATAACTGATTTCCTCCGAGGGCCTTGCGTGCGTTGAATATTAAAAGATATCGCTACTGGACTAAAAATAATAGAGTTCATGGGTTGTACCCGACTTTCTATTTTTATCCATAATAGTAGCTAGCTTTTTTTCTTTATCTTCTGTTCCTCCGGTCTTGAAACCAAATCTGCATATACAGAGTGTCAAGAAAAAAGCGGCAGTGACAAAAAACTGTATATCTCAACAATTACGATTGATTTTTAACATTAATATAAGATCGAACCTATACTAAATTTCACCACTTGACTCTTTATGATCAACTATTTCTATGTATAGTTAAGATCGACCTAAAGGTAGGGTCGTTCTTATATATTATTATTATTAGTGAAAAGTGAAAAAACGAGAAACCTTTTTCTTTTTTAAAAAAAAACAAAAACTGTTGCGTTGGGAACGAAAATTGCATTTCGAGACTCTATGTTGCATGTGCTACCATATCTGATCGCTTTGAAATCGTTTTTGATCTACAGTTCTTTCGATATACAACAAAAATTCTGACAAAAAGGCCATACGAGCTTGAGTTCTACTTCAACGTCGCTTTACCGTCTATCTTGCGGTACGGAGAACTTTCATGGCCAATCCACACGGTTCGCTTTTCAATATCTTATATACAGTGTGTAACGAAAATAATTGCCTTCAGAAAAAATGGTGTAACTCAACAATTACGTAAAATAATTAAACAATTTCAGATTTGCCAGAAAGCTTATCATCTCTTTTATTCCTCATAAAATTTTCAGTATGAAATTCTATCACCATTTCCTTCAAAACAAGTTTACACCTATTTTCCATTGATAGCACCAAATTATTCACCGTCTTATCCGAGATCGCATCCCATTCCTCAACCATAAACTTTTTCAATGGGATTCAAGTCTGGGCTATTGGATGGCCAGTCTATAACTCGAATCCCATTTTCAGCAATGAATTCCTTAGCGACACGGTCAGGAGCATCGGCGTCCCAATGGGTACGGAGCTTTTGTAATTTTTTTTTTTTTTCCTCCATATGCCGCCAAATAGCAACATGTGAAATTGAAATTTCTTGTGTTTTTTGTACCTTTAATGCAAGTTGCCGTGTTGAGACGGCAGAGTTCCTATGCACGTATTGTCCAACGGCGCGAGCGACACTTTGTGTAACCTTCGAAGGACGTCCTTTCTGTGCTTAACGGTTTTCGTATCTTGAATTTTTTTTTAAGGTTATAGGTGACAGTACGAAGAGGAATGTTGGTTTTTTGATGTATCTCTTTTGCGGATTGGACGCCGCTAAGCCAGTAATGGAGAATTGTTTGTCGCTGTGCCTCTAGTCTAGAGTTGACCATGATTGTAAAAGGGCGGGAGAGTAAACAATGGGTTGTTCTGAAATTTATATCTTTAAAACACGTTCACTGAAATGGTAACTAATTAAAAATAAAGACGCGTTTACGATAAACAACGCATCGCTTTGTTTATTTACAAAATAATTTCGATTGTCCGAAGGCAATTATTTTCGTTACACACTGTATTCGACTCTTGATCTAACGGAGAAAGTGTTGGAATTGCTGCGTCTGTTGTAACATGTTTTCACTGTGTATGCCGTATTTTTATCTGTTTCTTGAATAGTTACTATACAATTCCAGAACATTACTGTCTTGCCATCAGAATTCCCCTATTTTTATGTCCTTTCCAAAAGCTGGCCCATTTGAAATATAATGCCCACACTTTAGCCAAATTATCATTAATTGTTCCAGGTCAATCCCTTTTGCATGAGATAATTATGAAGTGCTATACCCATAGATGCCCAGAAAATTCTGATAATAAATAGTGAATGTAGAGATGGATTTTTTAGTTGGGACTGAGCATAATTTGAATGACTAGCCACTGGGTGCAAATGCAATGAGATTTTCTAACTGCATTTTAATTTCATAATTTCCATGTCATGTTAATGTTCCAAGCTGATGACCAAGCCAGAAGCTAGTCTAGGTAAAAAAAAGACTCTAGACTTTCAATATAGGATTTGTTTTAACTAGTTCCTCTATATCTTTCCCCTGTCTTTGTGAATACTTATGAATTGCAATGCCACTATCCATATCTACTCACAACAACCCAAGGACTCTGCAAGTTGCAGAGTAATCTATTATTATTATTATTATGGCCTGTTCAAATTTGTCAAAATAAAGAACGCCTAATATTATTAAAGGTTTAAAATCACAAAGAAGAATGTAAATTCAAAAATGATGCAATAAAAAAATAATATACAACATACAACAAAGACAACTTGAAACGAAAAAACAAAGCATATGTAGTTGAGCTCAACAGCTTCCATTCTTTGCTGTTGAGCCTTATGAACTTCAACAAGTACACCAGTACTCTCCTTCATAATCCAAGCCTTAGACACTAATTCTTTAATATTAATATTAATATAGTGTTCTTTTTCCTTCTCAACAATCCATTCAAGCTGGTATTTCCATGTTTCAGGCAAGAGGCAATGGTATTGTAGGTATTGTAATTGGACCAAGTTGATCTGCCTTGGCCAATATGGCTCAAGGTACTCATAGTCTTCTCTGAACATTGCCCAGATGACAATTTGCTGGTGTTTTCTTCTTCTCTCATTGCAGTGTAGACTTGCGAGGAGGCTGAGAGTTTCCAACTCTTTGAGCTAATGAGCTTGACAAAAAAGTTCTGGCAATCAGCATTGTCCATTGATAAGTTAAGTGATAAAGTTTGTTGTTTAACAGTTGCTGGGCACAGAATAAGCGTCATCGTTTGCCATTCTTTATAATAACAGACTGCGAGATTAAAAGGCAAGCCGCCCATTGCCTTGTAAACGTTTCCTTTAGGAGAGAAATAATAACTCCGAATTTGGTAATAAATTTCCATGATTTGCGTCACCACTGCACAATTAGAAATGTGATTGGTTAACTGATACAATAATAGCATAGAGACGCGATTTGCCTGACCTGTTTGCATAACTTCCTTCAAATGTTAACGTAGTATCATTAGAAAGAAGATACTTGAGATTATAGGATTTGTGGTAATCATTTGGCGTACCCTAAGACAGAGTCTTTCAAAGATAACACCCGTTTCGTTAACGCGAGTAATGCATAATGAACACCGGGAGACTGACGCTTTCCCTTACAAAAAAAAATTTCAGATAAAAGTGACACATCACAAATCCGGGTTATTTGCTCTCCAAATTTAGAAGAAAAATGCGTTATTACTACTTTATTGTAACCAACTTCGGATTCTTTCTGTCCATTAGATCAAAGCATCAAGAACTGGATTTGATGGAAAGATCTCAAGCACACGAATTTTGATATCGTCATTAATAAAGAACAATAAGCTTTCTTATTTATATCCTTCTGAGACCCATTGTACTTTGTCCCGTCGGAAAACCCAACCCATATAAAGAATCTATCCTTAATCGAATAATAATACTTCTACTATCTCCCAGAGAATGATTTATTCAAAGTTCACGTTTGTAGTGGATTACAAAGTGTCCATTATACCAAAATACTCTGAATACAACTAAATACACAAACTAAATACAAGCAGCCATTGGTGACTGCAAATGTGTCAGCTGACACCGACTTTCCCCAAACATTCTAGTGAGAGATGAATTTCACCCTAATGAAATTAGTTCTCTTTCTTTACTCTATTCACAGACTTCCATAATTCCAGGGACAAACTCTTAATTGTCGGACACCACCATCAGAGCAGGCGTTTGTAGCATCCTTTTCTTTGTCCCTAGACCTTCATTCATAGTCATCCAACTTTTTTTATCTCAATTCACATCAATGATGCCGATTATGATACTGCAAAGATAGCAATAAACAGAGACCCATCATGGAAATGTATATAAAAAGGGAAAGAAAGAGAAAAACGAAAACTCTGTTAACACTGCACAAGTCCAACACATTAGATTCCTATATACTCTCTCTTTCCCTGGTATCCTTCTGGTCTTTCAGCCTAGCATATTGCTGGCAAATCTGAACTAATTGGGTTCAAATTCTGAAATTTGGAATATAAATGGCAAATATTGGGAAGGCATGGATTTTACAGGTTCGCAGAGCTCAAAAATTATTGTTTTCATTCTCTTTCACATTTATCCACACACCCTCTATTGCTGCCAACATCATTATTATTGCTAGCTATTTCACACCAGCCAATCTCCCTCCGCGTTAATTCCCATATCCATTTACAAGTTCCATTTACACGGCCCGAAATCCAATCAATTTCACCTGACTCCGTGTTCAACAACTCCATCATCTACCCTGAATACACCCTCCCAGCGGCCGAATAGCTTACCTTGCGACCACGCACATTACGTCGGTCTTCATGAGATTGCCAGTCGAGTGGGCGAGTGTCCTGTTGCGGTTGCGTCGATGGTGGCTATGGAATGCGAGGGATGAACGATAAAGTGCGAAATTAATGGTGATCTCTAATATTTGATAGCCACCCGGACACTAAAAGTTATCTTTCCTATACACTGGTCCAAGTTTAATCAAGGAATCATTCTGACACCCGGCATTAATGTTTTAATCCCAAGTTTAATCAAGGAATCATTCTGACACCCGGCATTAATGTTTTAATCCCAATACAGTTAAATATCTCATCTGCTAACCTGTAAAAGATGCCCAGGAGGCGGTGGTAGGGGAGCCGTGGCACCATAATGCATTCCTACCGAATGCGACGCGCCATGTGGAGGCGGAATGTTGTATTCGCCGTGCGGTATTTGGTGAGGATGATGAAACATCATCGATCGTCCATCGCGCCATTCTCCTTGTTGTTGTGGGGGTAGCGGGGGTTGTTGTAGCGGAGGAGGTTGTAGCGGAGGTTGTAGCGGAGGCTGTAGAGGTGGTTGAAGAGGTGGTTGCTGTAGAGGTGGTTGTTGTAACGGTGGCTGTTGTAAGGGTGGTTGTTGTAGAGGCGGCTGTTGTAGAGGCGGCTGTTGTAGAAGTGGTTGTTGTAATGGAGGTTGTTGTAGCGGAGGTTGTTGTAGCAGAGGTTGTTGCTGAGGATTGATTGAGAGAGATGGGATCTGTTCCATAGGATATATTGGAATGTTCATGTTGAATAGTGGGTTTTGTTGAACGTTGGAAATTTGGGATTGCATTTGTCTTAAGAGATCCAATTGCATTGGTCTAAATTTTAGTCGAGTAAGCGCAGCAGGTAGATGACTGTCTACTTGCGTATCATTCTTAGTAGAGCAAGCGGAATTAGTGTTAGTAACGATATTGGGCATCCGACATATTTGAATACATCAAGTGAGTTACCTCTGTTATGAGTGTCTGGTCTTCCAATGGAATTTCCTTGATATTAGCCTCATCTTCCATCAATATCTCATTAGGTTCAGCAGGACTTTCTGGTATTTGAGACGGATTTATGTAGGTTTCTTCCAGAATGTGTCTAATTCTCTCTTCAAATAGTTTAGCCTCTTCGCTTTCACATACGGGTAATTCGATATCATCGAAATGTATTTCTACAAAAGAGTGTATTTCATAAGAGATTACAATTGATTGTTTGCTTATATTACAGGCAATGAAAATAATAAAGTAAATAAAAATGTATTGTAGATTGATGTATTTGTTTAATTTTGGCTTATGTCTAAGAACTCATCTGAACAACATTTCTCGAACACTGCAATCTTAATATTCTCAATATTAATATAAAGCAGACCCCTCTAGCATTAATAATGGGGACTAATCATCATAAAACAATATAACACAACTAATCAATACCACACATCTCTTCCACCAATAGCAGATTCTAGCCTAGCCACTATGCATCTTACGATTGACGTTAGTCCTATGCCATCTACATTTTGCTCGACGAGGTGTAGAGGAACGGATATAGGAAAATATTCAATCAGATGGGATGCATATGGGCAACCGGCAATCAGCAACGTGGAAGAACGTTCGTATAATAATCGACAATTGACAGTCAATTGTCGACTCATTCAGTTTCAATCCACTCGCTGGAAACCCGCGGTTTGATTCACAGTAAAATAATCAACCCGCATATCAATATACAAGTAATGCTTGTGTTGTTAAGAAAGTGGTGGCTATGAGAGGAGTAGGCCTCTCGTGATGATATGTACCTTTTGGTGGGTACCATTCGATGCTAGGTGACATACGCGCTCGTTTGAAAGCGGTAAGTCCCTCGTTCCTTTCCAGATCTCTTGCATTCCCGAATTGATGAGGTATTTCTGCTGCCGTTGACTGCTAGGAATAAAGAGACATGTTAGATAAAACGGTTCAGAAACAAACTTACTAATATGGAAATAGTTCAATACGCTGTAGTCAACTTCAGCATAGCATTTTGAAACCCAAAAGCCAAAAATTTACCTTACTCGCATCATCCATCTCGTCAACTTCAAAAATTCTGATATTTCTCAGTTCATTATCCGGTGCAAACGTGACCCTCTTCCTCTTCTTTGGTTTATCTATATCCACCTTATCACTATTACTAGTTGATGTTTCAGAAGAGGACAGTCCTACGGTAGATATAAAAGCCGATGAAGCAGTAGATGACTCTTGTATCTTGCTGCTGGCAAATGCACTCTCAAAAAATGTCCTAGCCGCCGATGAACTTGATTTATCTAGTTGCTCCTGATCAGCTAGTTTATTCGACGTCTCTTTATCACTTCGGCCTGTAACGGGCATCCAAGACAACGTCGAAGATGCCGATGGTATCGATGACTGAGGTGTAGCTTTGCCCGCTCGCGATGGAGCGAGTAATTCATCAAAAAATCCTTTGTTTGTTGTTGCGACAGCTTTAGCTCCATCTCGCAATATCGTGGAAGATGGTTGAGTCGGTCTTGTTTTGGATATTATTTTTATGCTTGGTGGCGATGATTGCCCTGCTAAGACCGGTTTCCGTAATGACTGAGTGAATAATACAACAAGGCGTGAGTGGGAAGTTGCTTTGAATCGATGAGTACGAATGACGTGTATACCTCTGGTGCAGGCCTTTTAGTGGATTGTGCTCTTTGGCGCAATGCTGGAATCGATAACGAGTAATGTTAAATTTTGTTGGTTACTGATATTATAATAGTACGTCGACTATACTTACCTTCCAGATTATCCAAACTTGATTCGGTCGTCAACGAGCTTCTAAATAATGGCAGAAAACAATCAATATCTTAATCGACTTGTTAAACATTTACGTGCTTCATTATATTAATACTTACTGCGCTTTCTTCTGTGCATCTTCTGCTCGGCATTGTCATGCAAAAATGAACAATAACGAGGACATATTATAAAAAGTTAGTTCAATAATACAGTATAATATGATCCATATTTCTCTACTTGCATACCTTCATCTCGAATCTTCTTCTTCCACTTCTCCAATATCTGCTCAACCATATCTCTTACTTCTGTTAATATATGCACAATGTCAGAATAATCTTAACAAACGACAATATTGCGTTACAACAATATACCGAGATCACCTTTTTGATCGCTAGCTTTTAATGCTTTATTATTCACAGCTTTCCCTAGTTGAGTTGCTTTCAGGCTATCGGTGTCCATTGGTAAATGGTTTAATACCTTGCAAATAGGAAAAATGATTAAATTAATATATATAATCACCGACAACAATAATAATGGAAAATGTCGACGTTTTGAGAGCGCTCAACTGCTGTTATGATAAGCATGAAAATTAACGTACTTCCAATAGTTTAAGCAGAAGAGGGCTACCCTCTTTTGTTGCTTCCACAAGCCATGCGCGTAAGACGTGACCCCCCTTGTTATCGATGAAGCTGTATACAATAGATCATTAGCGGAATTAAACAGACGAAGCTTGTAAACACCGTAAGCATGCTTGGAATCCGTTACGCGATTAAGCGTACATTACAATCAATACGAATGTAAATGGCCTTCCAACACGGCCACCCTTTGCTCCAACACGTTTCGACAAGAGATCTTGCAAGCAAGCATGTCCGCTAACCTTTTCAAAATCTCCTCAGTAGTTGTATTATACACGGCAGTAAGTATGGCTGCCCGAGTTGATACGTTTTTTTCATCTTTCATGTATCGCACAAACTCTCGCACTACGTCGATCGATCTCAAAGCCATCGATGGATTTAAGAATGCTGCTAGATTCTGTGCAGGCTAATGAAAAAAAAGTGATGAGACAGGAAGATCGAAAATCAAAGTAAAAATCGAGCGTACGCAAGTGAGGATATTGGTGCTTACGTGTTCAGATTGCATGTCTGTCATGGTCGTATCTGATAACTGAGGATCTTCTTCTGGGTCTGCTTTTGTTTATTTAGAAAGCAAGAAGCAACGATTGAATAAACAGAAATAAAGCATCAGAGTCGTTTATTAAGTGATGAATCGACACAGTATTGAGAGAAGAATAACGTTGTTTGTTGTCACGACGCCCACTATTATATGACGCGTGTACGAATATGCTTCTTCAGTTTATATTGCACGATTATCCTTGTATTTCTTTTTTCCCTCTTGTCAATGTTTTCATGTCTTATCTATATCTCTCATTCCCTATTTGTAATCTTTAAGATGTCGCGTCTCATTTTCTCATTCTCTCATTCCCATTGTCTCATTCTCTCGTTATCTATTATATAAATATCCAACACCGTTTGCATTCTCCATCTATCTACTTTCGGGTTCAATCTCCTCTCTCATCCTCCAAACTAATTACAAAAAATCCTCACCGACTGGTACTTCTGTGGCAGCTAATACTTCATGATTGGGACGCTCAACGTGGAACGATGATTGCTCTTGTGATGTGGCTATGATAATTGATAGCATTGTAACACAGTGACGCGCTTGATACTTCATATAACAATACGACATATTCGTGATCAAGGAATCTTATCTGCTAAACTTACCATAAACGTTGGATAGTTGTTGTATCGGTACGTTATTGTTATTCCTGTGATTGTTGTTGTTCTCGAGTGCTTCCTTTTTCCGTCGTCGCTGAAACCAGTTAGTTACCTAAATATATCAAGATTAGAATAACGTGGTATTGGTACATAGACCGTAATTAACATTATAATACAAAGAATGTGTAAATTAATCAGTTCGTATACTATAAGATAAATGTTCGCACATTGGTAAATGTGCATAGCAGATGTTCCTTTTGATGTATAATAGCTACGAGAGTTTTAATTATTCTAATTGACCTAATACACTCACTTGAGTCTCTGTCACATCTAGAGCTTGCGCAATCTGTGCTTTCATATCTTTGTCGGGAAAGCGCTGCTGGGTGTACATTGTCTCAAGATATTGAGTATTTTGTGGCGTAAAACGCACTCTTGTTCGTCTCTGTGTGTTTTCTTCCATTTTGCTAAATGCCCCGTGTCGCTGATAAATGCTAAGATCAATTTGCATTGTCTGTAGTGAAGTCTTATCTACAGGTTCTAAAACAAGTGTATATACTGCGGGCTATAACTCCATCGACGGAATGTGGAAATCAAATAGTCCTTGGTAAGAAGACACCTGGTATACAGTATTAGTTTGTTGAGAAGATAGTGTTCAGTACTGGAGAAAATGATTCAAGGAAAGTATTTATCGCCGACGTTAGCAAGCACGTGAATCATATTCGTGTAATATTGCTGTGCAACAAGTGGAAGAATTCTCATAGTAATAACCAAATTTACTGACAGCTGGTATGATTAGTATTGCTAATATAATTTTTAATAGGTCTGCAAAAAGCTCATAATTGCTCTTCAGTTTCTAACTCTTGCAAAATCCACGCACAGGACAACCAATTCCTAAAGGCTCACATGATTCTGTGAGTTATTTATCAAACTACGAAATGATAGTCGTATGCACCAATATCACTAATATCGTACAATTGGCAAGAATTCGTTAAAGAGCTAATTGATCTCCGAAGAAGTGAAAGTTTAAATAATACAAAGTAGTGAACAGGTAATGTTGTGACCCAACGAGGATGTAGTTAAAGTTAGACGCGTCGCATTGATACGGCCAAGTGTGTTGCAATAAAGACGCGGCTATTTTGCTGTTTCCTGTTATATTACTCCAGCGTAACTTAAGGGGCTTAATTATAAATGGCTGAAATAAAAAAGTGGACAGGATGCAATATTTTTCGATCTACTAATAAACGAAGAACAGGAATTGTTTTGCTTTTGTGCATTTGACTTTCAACGTATTAACATCACAATTGTCGCCCACGCCATCGTTTACTGAATTAATATCTTCTTTATATTCAATTTTTACCGTTAAGATTATATATAATCAAAATCAAGAAGCAGAATGAACCTGAAGATGCCAAGAAAATCCAAGTTAGACAGTACTCGCACCAAATCAATCTAACAAATTTCTCCCGATGTTTGAGAACGGTTACTATTTGTAATACAATTATTATTATGTCCGCAGATTTGGTTTTCATTTTATGTAACCAGTAATACTTGACGTATATTTTATCTAGCTCGGCAGAAAATGCTCAAACCGCCAATGAACATTCCCGTGATGGTTTGAACCAATAGAATTATTTATTACGGAAAAATGTGTATTGATTAGATGATAAATATCAAAGACATCAGTCGATAATATAGGAAATAAATATAAATGCACAATGTAAAAGTAATTATTTGTCGTAAAAAAAAAATGCATAAAGATTTTCCGACATTGACTGGTTGGACAGTAAATCAAAAGTACCACGGTCTTCAAATCCAGACTAAAGAAGTCGTAACATCAACACTTCGTGGAAATTCGAAGGTATGTAATTAGATATTCTACGTAGATGGTAGCAAGCTATTAATTCTTTATATTGGCTGAATTGTAAATAGTTACACTCCAAGTTTTTGAGCCAACGTTCAAAAACTCGAAATCCAATATATGAATAAAGACATAGTATAGCTAAAGAATCAACATTTTCCTGTCGACCTAATTCTCTTCCGAACAAACTTTGATTGTTAATATTTGTGTTTTTTTGAGGTTCGTCCTTCGTGGTCATGGAGCTGGTTTGACATGACCAGCTTTTCTGTGAACATTCAGATTATATGGGACAGCGTTCCAGCAAGATGTGTGCACACGTTAGTTAATTATTGAGATCGATGACTATTACTGAACACTAATCTTGTCGGCAACAATATTGTTGGATTCTAAATAGATGCCTTTCTTGCAGACTGCGGATAGATTGTAATGATGTATAAACGAATATTTCAATAAGTCCATTGGTTCGCTTAAATAGGTTACATTCCATCATCTAGAATGCAAATCAGTTTTATTGTCTAAATGTAGATTATATTCAACCGATTATAAAGAGGTTAAACTACTTTTATCGAAAACCACTCTTAAGAAGACGTATAGTTCATTCCTATGGCTACAATCCATTTATTCAGCAATAAACTAGAGAGAGGAAAGAAAAAAAGATTTTTAGTACCCAACAACACAAAATGCAAAACTGAGAGTTCCAAACCATCAAAACCAAACATTTAATACTCACCAATGCTGCATATCCCATACCACTTCCTATACACATGGAAGTAACACCGAATTTTTTCCCAGTCCTCCTCAATTCATACAAAAGCGTTGAAATCTGCCTGGCGCCGGTGCATCCAAGCGGATGTCCTATAGCAATTGCTCCACCCTTAGGGTTAACCTTATTTTTATCTATTCCCAATTTTTCAACACAATACACGGCCTGAGACGCAAAAGCTTCGTTTATCTCGTAAATATCGATATCATCGACCTTCAATCCGGTCTGTTCGAGCAACTTGGGAATAGCAAACGCGGGTCCAATACCCATAACCCGTGGAGGAACACCGACACACACTCCGCGCACGAATTTACCCAATATGGGTAACTTCAACTTCTCGGCCGTCTTTCTTTTCATCAACAATACAGCTGCAGCTCCATCACTCACTTGCGAACTGCTTCCTGCAGTTGTTGTGCCATCGGCTGCAAAGGCAGGCTTCAATTTTGCTAAACCCTCCAACGAGGTATTTTTTCTAATCCCATCATCCTTATCGACTACAATCGCCTTCTCGTCTCCTGTTTTAGGATCAATCACTTTGGTTTGCACTGGTATGATTTCGTCATTGAACAATCCAGCTTCTTGAGCGGCTGCTGCACGTTGATGAGAGACAAGAGAGAATTCGTCTTGCTGAGCACGAGTGATGCCAAAATCGCGTGCTACATTCTCTGAAGTTTGACCCATGGGAAGAAGGCAATCGGCCGCTTCCTGATTAGAGAAGACACGCTCTGACGTATCGCTTGGCATTGCACCTGCTCCGTAACCAAAGGTCATACTCTCGACTCCAGCACCTGATCGTTAAAACACAAAGAATTGAATAAGATATATTTATGGATGGATTGAACGTGATTGATATGGTGATTTGAGTGATAATCACTATTCGGATTACAATGACAATCCTCCCTCTCACTCACCGATTCCGATCTCAATCTGATCCAGAGCAACTTCATGAGCAATTTGTACGACAGCTTGCAACCCACTTGAGCACTGTCTGTTGACGGTGTTTAACGCCGCGGTATGTGGTATTCCCGCATACAAAGCAGCAGCCCTAGCTGTCGTTGCACCACCACCAGGGGGCAATACATTTCCTACGGCAATATCCTCGATCAATTTTGGATCGATGCCAGCCCTGTCTACTACCCCCTTCAAGGCAGCCGCAAGAAGGTCTTCGGGTAAAGTATCCTTAAACCCACCCTTTTTGGATCTTGTCATAGGAGTGCGAACTGCTGCAACAATGACGACATCGTCGGGGGATTTATGCGTCAAGGCAGTTTTAGGATCTTTGGAAAAGTGAGAAACAATCTGAGCTACTCTGGACGATGCCATTTATGTGTATGCTTAAATATAGTATGGGAAGAAAATTTAGGAATGGGCGGTTCGTATGGGAGGTCGATGTGAGAGATGGATTATTTTTATGTTGTTCCTGGAATTGATTGGCAACCACTAAAATTTGCACATACTCATGTGACTCTAAACAAACTTATGCCGGTTACGGATAATTACAATTCCGTACATTAGGTCAGTATCAGCCATTTATTATTATGATAATTCGGATCTTTGACGGAGAATAGCCTACATTGGTCAATTAACAAAGATCGGGTCACGATCTATTCCGTAGGGATTATTGCACTCGCTGGGAAACTAGTGAATTCGCCTTGAAATGAGATGCCCAAGTTATCTTCAAGAAAAGGTGTATTCAAACTAAAAGTATCCCTGATTTGCATATCAGCGTTTCGAGAATGTTGTCATCATTAACTGTAACGATAAACGACAATATTGATGAATCAAACTCTCATCCGGCCATTGATGAATCAAAAATAAATACCCACTTATTTCAAGAGCTTGTATATATATAATGTGTTGCTAATAAGTCTATAATCAGGAGGCAATAAAGCTCACAATTATGTCTCATCAAGTTAATAATTAAAACAGAATTCCTCTATTGCTAAGTTTGGAATCTTCTTTATTGTTAGTATTAGACGTGATAATCAATGTTGATTAAGGCTGAAGTCAAATGTCATCGGTCAAAAAAATTACGCCCTTTTCATTATACGGTATAAACATTAGCTAATTCCCTATGCGTTCAGTTTGGTGCTATTTAAGAGTGGCTGAGAACAATTGTAATGAATTCCCTGAAAGACGCGTCAAAATTGGCCTCATGCTAAAGATTATAAAAAATAAGTTTTTTATAATTTTTCCATCCCAATATAAAATTGGGGGACAAAGACTATAAATAGGAAACTAAGCGAGGCGAGGAGCCTAAATTGGAAATTATTTCTATTCAAAAGACTTGAAATTTTGGCATACAAGATTTCACAAAGCAGTCATTACAGAGGCTGATAATAAATTTTTACTCCGCATTAGTCCTCTGTTCTTCCTCTATTATTAGAGCTGTATAGTTGTCTATTACAATCTGACAATAGTAATAGTAATAGGCACTTTTAATTACCTACCAAAATGTGACAAGATGGATTTTATTACACACTGACATACTGTAAGTAGAGTTAACACTATTATCCTCTCGATTATCGCTTAATTTTGTTATTATATACTTTAATTAATTATAATACATCACATCTATTAATATCTATCTAGATTGCAACTACATTGCCACCCACAGATTCTCTTCTTCGTAATTTTCATGTGAATGATAGGCCCTTTCTCTGCAACTATCACAAACCCATCTCCATCGTCCATCGCTCATAGTAATGCGATATAGCCCACCGAATTCGTGCGAAGGATCATTAGCAGCCAAGAACGCCTCAAATTCACGCAATGCGGGGCCTTGTGCACATTTCATCCTACTTACTGGATCATTCTGTGCTGCTGCTAGACCTCTTGCAATATCACCGTCTGTTTCTGTTTGGTCTATAATCTCGGTTATTTGTTTGAAATATTCTGTAGGCCGAGATGACATGCTAGTAATTGTGCTCGTTACTGTATCCGGAACTTGCATCTTTGTAAAGAAACCGAGGGCCGAGCCTATGACAGTGGCCAATATAGATAGGTATGGGCCGGTCTTGGCAATAAATGGCTTTGGATCAAATATCTGTAGCGAATATATTGGTCATGTTAATAAAAGCGAACTGCATTATACATATCATATTTCAAAGATGTCATTGGACAACATACCTTGTAGCCAGGATGATCTGTGAAATGGGCCTCACTATTATCAGACGTAAGGCCCTCACAAAGAACGTGGATTATGAAGGTATTCCTTCCCCAAGTATGTGGTTTAAACATTGAGTGAGGCTCTTTTCCTGGCAATAACATGAACAATCGAGGTATAGCCGCATCTCTAGTATCAGAAATACTATTCACAATCACATCAAATTGCGATAGTATCATATTAGTGGCTTCTTGCATGTTAGAAAGAACAACATTCGTATTCTGATTTATGGTATTGATAATTCTCTCAGTGGATACTGATTGCATATTGGATATCTTTGAGTCATGGTAAAAAGCACCAATAAAAGAACATGGATGAGTGTTTGCAGATGACAGACAACGGCAGAACTGATGATATAAATATTTACCTGAGCAGTATCAGCCCCGCCAGTCAAGTATGCCCCTCTTAAAATTTCATCAACAGAAACTCTCTTCATTGGATTAATGGCTAACAATTTCTGAAGCACATGTTTTGCTTGAGGATCGGCTACCCTATTAACAAGCAAATCAAAACGTCCTGTATTATATGCTTCTAATAGTCTAACGGTAGCCTCTTGTTCGTCGGAGAAGAGGGGACGTCTAGTATACAATTCGTATACCGTACATCCAAACGACCATATATCCATCGACATATCAGCTTTAATGCCAACGCGCGATATAGCCGCATTGATTACTTCGGCTGTATAAAGAGAAAAAATCAAAACATTAGGAATAAATAATTTACGAATGCTTGAAATTGCTCAATATTTCATGTTACTTACGCGCTGAATATCTTAACGTGCAATTATCAACATCTTCTTCTCCATTGACTCTCGCTGCCTCAAAATCGATCAATCTCCACTTTGTCACATCTCCATTCTCATGTACAAAGTTTCCTGGCTTAATATCCAGATGCACTATCCCATGACTATGAACATAATGGATTGCTTGTGCTAATGACTTGACTACCATCTTCACGTATAATGCATCCATGGTATCCGTCCTACTAACGATAAATTTATCCAAGCTCATAGGGTAATAGTCCATAATCATAACATATTTCCATTTGGCAGCATTGGAAATATCAAACAGGTCGCGAAATTCGCCAACAGATTTCGATCGAAGGTACTTCAACATAATAACCTCGCGCTCGAATGAAGCATAGTTTGAAAAGAACTTTATTGCTACACTTTGACTCACAGTCTCATCCTCGGCACGACGAACAGAGTTATTGCCACCATATGCTGGAGCCCCGTTGAGTCTGTACCTGTTGAATATAAGTGTGCCCGCAGGAGCTGATGGAGAAATTGAAGAGGCAGATATAGATGTGAATGGGATGGTAGTCACTTTATATCGAGCATAGATCTCATTCACAAGTGTTGACGGAGAAGAGGTGGCAGAGTTCACATTTATCGTATGATTTGACGCTGTGGGTGGTTGGAAAGAGGATACTGAAGTTGTGGCGGACGGAACCAAATAAGGCTCACTCTGAAAACCAGACGCTTCAAATTTGGGTGGTCGATAAATCTGTGAACTGTCACTTTGGGAGCCAGTTTCAAAGCTACTTCCAAAAGCCGCATTAGGTTTCACTTCTGTCAGCTGTTCGTCGTCATCCTTTTTCTTATTTTTTATCCATCTATACAATAGCACGCCCGAACCTGTACCCACAAGACCCACTGCTGCTACAATTCCAGCAATTAACCCAATAACCTTTCCCGTCCCACCAGCTGAAGATGTTCCTGAATCACCACCGGCCCCATTATTTCCTGAACCAGCACCATTACCACCATTTGAAGTTTTTGATTTTGTGAATGGATCTTCTTGACCAGGTGCAAGAGGTCCACCAGCGAACTGATCGGTAGGTATGTTATTTACTGTGTTGACTAGAGTAACCCAAGTTTTTTGAGTCATATTGAATGCGGCCAAGTCAGAGGTTGCGACACTACCACTGGCTTTTGAAAACCCGCCATAAGTCTTGAAAATTGGGTGTATGAGTTTGGAAAAATAGATAGATAGCCAATTGAGAGATTAATAGACGGAAGATCACGATATAACTATAAAATGTAAGCAAACTTACAATCAAAACGTCACTTCCGGGCAACTGTGCAGCAGCGTAGTAGTCATGTCCGACAGTGGACATCGGGCCACTGTCAAAAGTTGTCATTCTACTATCGACTATTTTTCAGAGAACGAAATCGGGTTAATTAAGTTGTCAAACTTATTGTATCAAAAGAAAATTCTACTTTTCATTAATCGATCTTCTATCCCCTTCGATTCCAACGCGTAGCCAGATCCTTCCCCAACTCACCCAAACTCCACACCCTCATTGATGATTTTTCCGATGACGAATCACTTGAAACAATGTAAATCGTATCGTTAAGTTTCCCTGCATGTCCATCTAAGTATACAGTAGGCATGGAAATTTGCGGATTAAACCATTTCCTGGTTGGAATGTTGAATGCCCATACGTCGCTGTAAAAGTCTCCATAATTAGTGCCTGTGAGCATTGATGTACCGCCAAGGATATAGACGTTATCTTTGGCAGAAGTAATACAGAAGAGGCCATTGTACGGTGGAGTGTCAGGCTGGATAATGAATAAAGGCAAAGAGTAAGATTAGGACAACTGGACCATAATATGTTTAACCATTCATCATTTAACTCCGCTCGCCGTTATCAATGCAATGTGAATTATGGAATTAGCGCCTTTCCCCTAATCTACCTCTTTATTACTGCATCTGCATACTCACCCCTTTAGGAACAGTCTCCCAAGTCAAATTCTTTGCATTTAATATGTAGGTATCGTTTGACTGTTCCCCCCCAAAGATGAACATAAATTCATCGCCCAGTGAGGTTTTCACGACAATAGACCTATGACTATCTCGATACAACAAATTTTTGACTGTATCCAATCCCGTAGTCTTTGGCGTATACCAAGAGCCCGAAGTGCCTTTATTCAAATCAAATGCTTGGATTCCGGTGAATTTGAGCTCGTTTGAGTATGCTCCGCCTGTCGTGTACAAAATACCATCCGACGTGACGGAACATGCTGGTCGACTGACGTTTGCTGCGCCAGCTACAGGCATAGCGACCCAGTTGGGTTTGTCTGTGCTGAAAGGCGTCTCTATATAACTGAAGAAGGAATTGGTGAGATCGTTGCCCACGCCGCCATATACGTAAAAGCGGTTCTGATAGGCGAATGCACAATGGTTGTTCCGTGATCCCGGAGCTGGAGAGACGGTTTGAGAATCGGAAGAAATAGGAAAAACGAGGAGAGTGAGAAGGACAAGAATAAAGGCGGAAGTATATGAATTGGAATTAAACATGACGATAAAAAGGGGTAGGAATTGTGTAGTTTGGGGATATTAATATACAGAACGCGTTTGCGTTTTGTTAATTAAATGAAAGACGAACTAATGAGAGAAAATTCTTGTCCAAAAGAGATAAAAGAAAAGAACGTTGTGGTATTGACAGAATATCTTTGGAACATTTGTAGACATGCAGTTCTGTCGTGTTCAAAATCCAAACATTTAATTTGTTTTTGTGCTTACCTTTTTGTGCAAGAATGCATTTTGCCTATTCGAGAAATTGATCAAAGACGGACCAATAAAGAGAATGTATTAAATTTGCTAACCAGTTTATATTATAAGATTTACTTATTCACCGAATTTAATCATCACATTGGTGTAGCGCATAGTAACTGATTGACGTTGTTTAAAATTTGATAATCGATCCCCATTCGTAGAAAGAAATCTCAGCTTAACACACTGTTGTATGGTTTATATTAACATAATGAACGCAAAATCTGTAACAGTATAACAAACTAAAATGCAGTGTTAGTGTTCTACAGTAGTTTGATTGACTGTAGAATGGAAGATGTATTTTATTCAGATGATGCGTAACATAGTAACATAGTATGTAGAATGTTGTCTTTTGACATACCCACTCGGCTATTACATACGTCAGATTATCGATAGCGTTTTACACAGATCGTAAAACTCATCTCGTGAGATTTGTGTTATCCCGGGAATTTTGTTTGAAAAATGTCATTGTATAACTCTATAATTAAGAGGGTCAACTGCTTAATATTAGCGCTCGCTATAGCGTATTTTTTTTATAGAACTTGGTATTGGATGGTCTCGGATTTGATCGTAAAATTAGAAAGTTGGTGGCTCCTTTTTTGTTGAGATTCTGTCAACTAAAAGGAAGATACAAAAATTAGTAATTATTTACCCAAACTGGGATCGATAAATTAATTCAATCAAAGCGAAGTAGTAAAAGTCTACGATGTTTCAGATTACAAAATGGACAATCTCTTATATCGACCTGCCCAGCAATACATCGCTTTTCAATAAGCTTTTAGACTTTTTCGACTTTTGGATATAGATAATTAAGTATAAATAAAAAAAACAACTTTACATTAATTATGCAAGACGAGAAGGCACTTGAATTCTTGTCTAATAAGAGATTGTTAAGGGAAAAGTAATGCAATTTCCAGGACAAAACGTTGGATCCATAAAACTAATTATGAGAAAGTACGTTGATGTAGATCGGTTAGCACTAACTGAATGAAAGAATGGTATAATTATCACTGTCGTTATTGGAATTTTGGTCTGCAGCGATGATCGAAAAACATAATACAAGCACGCAGATCCTAATGAACATAAAGGTGTTTTTCGTAGCATTCTCCAATTTCAATACCATATTGTAGACATGTAAAATTTTGATTCTGCATTTGCTCCGAATTTACGTTAGATTATGACATTGTTGCGTGTAAAATAGGGAGAGAACCGATGCCTGCATCCGTATATCGAACATTTCATATAAATCCGATTACTCCAACGAGTAATGCTTTGAGAACGTGTTGTTTACGGTCTAATTTTGGACAAGAACGGTCTGTGAAAGCAAATGTCTACAGCAAGCAGTGCTCCTCTTTAATGGCTAGCAAAATCAGTGATATATTCTATTCAGTATCCTGTAATCGATATTACAAGTCACTCGTGGTAGTATAAAATTTAACATGTTTAGTTCGTTCTCTACCAAAAACTAGAACGTGTGAAATAAAGAACATTTTATAATAAATAAAGTTGTGTTTAGCAGTCGATTTATTTGATTATTATCACATTAATACAATATTACAATATTATGATACATTGCAATAATATTCAAAACTTCAATAGGATCTCCACATCTTCTCGATCTGAAACTCTCAGTGGTATTGTCAAACTGAAAAGATCATAGGCCTTGTAAAATGCACTGTGAAATGTATCTACAACTGAAACAACTACTTTTTCATTCATACCTAAGAGTGCCAGGAAAGGTATGTCATTTAAGGCTGCTTTGCACCATCACTAGATCTATCTCTATCTTCTAAAATCACATTGTAGAGCCTATTGTGCCCATCCTTACATTGACAAAGGAGTTTCTTCCAATCGTTAATGTGCTTTGGCTTTCACACACCTAATTGTGAGAACTCTGCAAAGATTAGATCTATGTCTAAATTGCTGAGCTCAGCTGCATACTTATACTCTTCTTCTTCAGCATCATCTTCTTCTTCATCTTCTTCTAACCCTTCATGATTATCTGATTCTGTTTCTTCATATTCATCATCTCCATCAGAATCATCATAATCAGATTCAGCTTCCTCTTCCTCTTCACTTGAATTGGCATCAGAGTTGTCTTCAGGAAAAAACAATCTGACACACAAGTCAGGCTTATTACCGAACATCATTGCACTCATCCTCACTTTATGTTCATGGGATGACTGGCTTACTTGTTCAGCCCCGTAAATAATAAATAAATATAAGACATTAATTGAATTTACTAATAAAGTACAATGAATTTAAAACCAAATCTTTACCATGCATGCATTGCTGGAGTTTCATCTTCATTGCAAGCAAAAATGGGATCCAAGATTTTTGAAATGGCAAGGACCACATAACCATTTTTTGCTATAGTCAGCTCTTTCAAAAAAAGGCCTGCATTTCCAAATTTGTCATCTATAAAATATAAAAGTCCAATAACATTATTACTTATTGTTATTAATCAATAAACTACCAGGATACACAATATACACTTACAATCCCTCCAGCAACCCATGAGTTACAAACAACACATCCTCCAACTCCTGGTCTATATTATCCTCAATACCAGGGAAATTGATTGGTCTCACCCTCTTTAGACCCTTATTGTGGGATGCTATGAACTCATCTAGCATTTTCTCCACTTCTGCTGGAAGGATTACTTCCTCAAGCTCATGCTTTGTGAGAGCTTCCTGAACATCCTGTGAAAGCCTCTCTGCAATCTTGTTGCCACGGTTTGTAAGATCCAATATTCCTGAGCCCATTGGAGAATTTCTTTGAATTTAAGTTTACTGAGGAGTTTCTGACCTCCTCATAATCCACTGAGCAGCCACTGAGCAGTCATCATCATTTGATGCATACCCTAAAATTTTCAGGTAAATATTAGATATGAAGCATGCACTGATTGCTGTCACATTTTAGCAGTGAAGTAAAAATTATAACGTGTACCCGTCGCAAATACCAAATTACTAAATTCAATACCACTTAAAATGGGTGACCCACAAACGTACTTTGAAGAACACGCAACTTGGTCATTGATTTCTTTCTTGCAATACAGACGACAGTATGCAAAAGATTTCACAAGAGATAAACTTAAAGAACATAGGAAATATACGAAAGAACTTGATAGAATTATTTCAAATAATGAATCAAAAGAAAAATGTGCTCAAGCTCAAAAATGTCTTAACGAATTTGATGTACGTGCTTTTTATATAAATATTTATCAATTAACTAAGATAGAAGCCCTGAGTAGCTGGCTGACTGCGTCTCGGCCAGTGACAGTGAACCGCGCCTTCCCTCGGGGAATAGACTGCGCCTCTATTTCCATGTTGCAACTAGGAACTGCGTCTTTCTGGTTGTTAGACTGCGTCTCGTTTCATGGAATATATCTCCTAATCCTTTGATTATGATGATAAGTTTGGTTATTTGATTAGACTAATATATTCTCTGTTTTGTAAGGACGAGAAATCATCCCAAGAAGTAAACGCTTTTTGGATATCGGACTCGATAAAACTTACCAAGGTGAACAGATTACCATCTATAGATTCTTATTTTAATGTGACGAATCAGAAAGTGATGAAAGTGACGATGAATGTGAGTTAAGGCTAAACGTGGAAGAAATGGGATTTGACGAGTACGTTGATCGAAATGATATACCTGTTACGGTCGGGAATTAAATGGGGGTTTTGGGAGAGCGATTTATCTTTTCGTGTAGGTGTGTTCGCCGACCGGGGG